GTTGTTTATCTGTAAAATGGGAAAAAGTAGCCATATATACCTCACAGGATTGTTGTGAGGTTACATAAGAGAAGACAGAAAAAATGCTTAGACTATTTCCTGGTACATAGTAAGTCCCTGACAAATGTGAGGGGCTCTTGACAAAAACACTTCTTGAATTTTAATACCCATTTTTCTTCCAATATTATCATCATCTTAATCTCATCTGCAGTGCAAAAATTTAATGGTCATTGGGACACTTTTTTTTCCTTAAGAACATATTAGGTTGCTGCAATTAAAGTCAAGGAGAAAGTGGCATTTGCTGTTAATCTAAATATGAAAAGTAAAAGGTATCTGCATTATCTTCAGGACGGGTTGGCTTAATTGTCTTTAGAAGGCTGGGATATAGATGCTCTGGGTCAAAACTGTGGGGTATTGAGCTAGCACTGATTGGTGGGATCTGGAGATTAGAAATGTTAACATACATTGTTTTGGGGGTACTGGTGGGGGAAAGGGTGAGGGGAGGATTCATTACTGACCATTCATTGGAGAAGCTGCTTTTCTCCAAGTCCCTTGGAAAAGCTCCATCAGATACTGTGACTGTGAAATCTAACCCCGCCTTTAATGTGAAACCTGAAGCTAAAGCTATGCTTACCACCATGGGGCCTTCTGAACAGAATCAGAATGGCTCTCTTGAGCCTCTAGAAATAACCCTGTTCTAAACCTCCACATCTATTGCTTATATTACTTTATCCCAATCAAGTAAGCACCAGAAATCATGTCAACGCAAGGCCTCCAAGCCACTTATAGGGTCATTAGCCGGTGGCATTCACCAACCAGAGGAATGTTCCTAGGTTTCCAACAGACCTAACTTCACATCCACTCACATCAGAACAGGTATAACATGCTGAAAACAGTTTCCAAACCAAGAGAAAATTAACACTCACAAGCCAGCAGAGACATAACATGGCATCAATCTGAAACCATTACTTGCCAAATGTGTTCCATGGATTCCTAATGTCCTGTGAAATACTAGTGGGTTTTGCCAAAAAAAATTTTATCTGATTTCCAAGATAATTTACAAATACCATATATTATGTCTCCAACTTATTAATATACCATGCACATTCATTTTATTTGTCAATCAACAAACATTTATTGAGCACCTAGCATGTACCAGACAGTGCTTCAGGTAGTGTTATAGTGAACCCCAAGTTTCTCTTCAAGGAATCAGTATGTCAGTATGTTCAGCTCTCCTATTCTTTAATTCTCTATTTTAAAGTTTCACTTCCTTGTAATTTCAGTAAATGACCTTCTCCACCAGTTCTGATCAGTAGTTCACATCTGTTCCCCCAGCCCCCGGCTCCATCCTGATTCATACCGGTCACCTGATCCAGTCACCTTCTTTGACCTAGATCACCCCTGGCTACCTGCTCTGACCCGCCTGTAACCATCCTTCCCACCAAAACACCCACTCTGCCACTCCAGCTCAGACCACTGGTCTTTTTAAAACAGCCAATGGGGATCGCTCTAGCTTGTGAGGTCTAACCCTAGCCAATAGGGAAATGACACGGCAGTAGGGACGACCCCTGTCAGGCATACGTACCCCTTCCCTCCTTGTCCAAGCATGCGGCCACCATTGCTCCATCCATATGCTGCATCCTTCTATAGAAGTAAACTGCCTTGCTGTGAGGATTTATCTTCCAGTGCTATTTCTTTTGTGGCACCGAAATTTTACTTATAACAGCAGTATGGAAAAAGAGTAAGCAAGACAGATAATATTCCAGCTATGATGGAAGAAGAAAAGGAGCACAAAAACAACTATTAGGGAATACACAGACAGGTAAATGAGAGAGGTGGGGCCTACAGTGACCAGGCAGCTAATCAGGCTATCACAGAAATCCTCTCTGAGTAAAAGGTATTTAAACTGAGAACTGAAAGACATGAGTGTCTTTAAAGATTTTTTTTAATGAAGATTTTTTTTAGTAAAGAAATATAGTACATTTATTTATCCTGACATTTCAACTCCATCTGTCCCCACAACTTTTTTGAATGGAATGCCCATTGGCATTCCAGGGAACACTAGTGTTCTTTGGAATCCAGTCTGAGAAGTGCTGGTTTTATCTTGGGATTCTAGTGCTGTTGAATGTAGACCATTCTCTACAGAATAGTCACCCACCACACATCAGTGCTGCTGAAATAACCCGAAAGCCCACCCCCGGAGGGCTAATGGATACAAGCACTTTCTCCACTGATAGCCAGACAAGCTGTGGCAGCAGCAGGAGACTCAGGAGATGACACTCTGAACTGCGTATTTCAGGTTCTCCAAGACATGTCCCCAGAGGCATGGTTTGATCTGTTGCTTTTACAAAAAAGGGTAGCCTGGGAGTTACGAGCATCCACCACAGAGACGCAAGTTCCCACCTGGCAGTTTGCCACAGCCATGAGCCCCTGGTGCTCCATCATTATCTTTCCACCCCATCTCTCACCCTTATACCAGGCTTGTGATTCGAAAGCCCTCAGACCAGGGGCAACAAACTATGGCCTGTGGGCCAAATCTAACCCACTGCCTGTTTTCTAAATAAAGTTCCACTGGAACACAGACTTGCCCATTCATTTGTGTATTGTCTACAGCTGCAGTGGCAGGGTTGAGTAGTTGTAATAAGGATCCCATGTATGGTCGACAAGGCCTCAACACTTGCCACTGGTCCTTTGCAGAAAGAGGTTGCTGATCCCTGTTCTGGGCACCTGTTCTGCACCCTGTGGGGCAGTCCTATCAGCCTGTGCAGACAGCTACTGTCCTGGCTGACTAAGCTAGGTGAGGTTTTCCATCTTCCCCAGAAGACACCTACACCTGGGGAAATCTATTGACAATCTTCTAAATGCACCCCCCCCACCGCCTTTTCCTTAGAGAGTTAATGCACCTGATGAGGGCACTTCTGCTGGTATGAGTGAGATTCCCTCTGCTAAAATCCCAGCCATGCCACTTGTTCACTCTGTGATCATGGAAAATTCACTAACCCTCTCCAATCTTCCATTTGACAGTTTTAAAATGAGAATAATATTAACTGCCTCACAGGAGTGTTGCATGCCTGCAATCCCAGCACTTTGGGAGGCTGAGAAGGGCAGATCACTTGCGGTCAGGAGTTCGAGATCAGCTCTAGCCAACATGGTAAAACACTATCTCTACTAAAAATACAAAACTTAGCTAGGCATGGTGGTGCACGCTTGTAATCCCAGCTACTCCCAAGTAGCTGAGGCAGGGTAATCCCTTGAACCTGGGAAGCAGAGGTTGTAGTAAGCCAGGACTGTGCCACTGCACTCCAGCCTGGGTGAAAGATCAAGACTCCATCTCAAAAAAAAAAAAAAAAAAAAAAAGATTAAATTAGATGATGCACGTGAAAAACTCTGCATAGCTTCTGACTTGCACAAGCTGTTTTATAAATGTTAGTTATTATTTTAACTGTTATAAAAAGGACCGAGAAGGGGGAACTGAACACACAAGACATAAATGTTATGAGTAATCCCTTGATGCAAACCATCTCAAATCACTTTCAACTAACAAATCTGTGTTAAGCAAGTTTTGGCAAGATATGGAACATCCAGTGCTTTCACTAGCTAATGGTACCTATGCGGCTAATAGATGTTTGTTTTGGAGCTACCATTTTTGAAAACCATTTGTTGTTACCTATAAAGCTGCACATGGTCAAGAGATCGAGACCATCCTGGTCAACATGGTGAAACCCCGTCTCTACTAAAACTACAAAAAATTAGCTGGGCATGGTGGCGTGTGCCTGTAATCCCAGCTACTCAGGAGGCTGAGGCAGGAGAATTGCCTGAACCCAGGAGGCGGAGGTTGCGGTGAGCCGAGATCGCGCCATTGCACTCCAGCCTGGGTAACATGAGTGAAACTCCGTCTCAAAAAAAAAAAAAAAAAGCTGCACATATGTGCAACCTAACATCCCACAACTTCAATCCTAGACATATACTCGACAGACATGCATACATTTGTTTGCAAAGACAGGTACTAGAATGTGCAAAGCAGCACTATTTTGTTGTAACTCCAAATCGGAAACTACCCCAAATACCATCAACTCCAGAATGGATATAGAAATTGTGGTATATTCACACGATGGCATGCTATTGGCCAATGAGAATCAACCATCTACAACAGCACAGGGCTACACGGAGGAATAGCCAAAGTTAAGCAACTTAAGTTATCTGCACAAATTTAAACAACTTAAGTTATTTGCTTAACTTTGTGCGATTCCTCCATGTTACTGTATGTTACTCCAGGGAAGTGGGAGTGAGGGGCCCTTCTGGGATGCTGAGAGTGTACTGCTACTTCACCTGGGTTCTAGTTACACAGATATATTCAGTTTGTAAAAAGTTACCAAAAAAAAGAATGAATGGAGAGAAAAAAGAAGGAAAGGAGGGAGGGAAAGAGGAAGGGAGACATATTGAGCCCATGCTCTTGGCCATTCTGTTTTCTTTTTTTTTTTTTTTTTTTTGGGGGGGGAGGGAGTTTCGCTCTTGTTACCAGGCTGGAGTGCAATGGCGCGATCTCAGCTCACCGCAACCTCCGCCTCCTGGGTTCAGGCAATTCTCCTGCCTCAGCCTCCTGAGTAGCTGGGATTACAGGCACGCGCCACCATGCCCAGCTAATTTTTTGTATTTTTAGTAGAGATGGGGTTTCACTGTGTTGACCAGGATGGTCTCGATCTCTTGACCTCGTGATCCACCCACCTCGGCCTCCCAAAGTGCTGGGATTACAGGCTTGAGCCACTGCGCCCGGCCCATTCTGTTTTCTTTCATGCCCTCCTTTATATTCATTTTTTTTGTTCCTAGCTCTGGACCTTGACTGCTCCCTTGTCTCATAGCACCTTTTTCTCTAACAAAAACCTGATTTGTAGATCTTCTATTTGAAGGAACCATGTAGTCTTTGTTCAGTGAAAAAGCAGAGACCCTACACACCCTCCACTTTCTTTATTTCAGGCCTGGCAAAAGGAGATGGGACTTACACCCAAGAGGATGAATTTCCATACACCCATTTCTGAAATATGAAGAGGTGCCCAGTCTGTTTGATTCATACCTGCCTGTCCCACAACTGCAGACACAGTAATTGATAATCCAGACCAAGTTCCCTTCCCCAACTCCCAGGGCTGGAACTGAGGCTGTGTTTGGTTTTCATAAGATCAGTTCCAGTTTCAGAAACTGAGTAAATTGTGGAGTAAATGTTGACAAGTGATGGATTTCTGCCATGGGCGTGAGTTTCTGTTGGCCATTTCCCTCTGCATATCAGCAGCAATGCCAAATCTCCAGTTACACCTCAAAGCCCCACTGGCCACTGTCGTTCACCCCCTGCCTTGCAGAGGTGGGTGTTCAGGGAAACAGATCCAAAATCTGGGCTCAGAAGATGGAAATGCCAACTTCTCCCAGTTCAAGAGTGGGGATGAGACTTTTTGACTCAACTCTGGTTAATTCAGCCATGCTGTCAGAGCTGCTTTGATGCAAGGACATTTGAATGCTGCCCCTAAAATAACTTGTGTTTCTTCCAAATTAAAAACAATAATTAAAAAAAAAATAAGTGTTTTAGAGCAGTTCTCCTGCCCCAATCCCTGAGCCTCAGCTCATCGCAGCCCTTCCTCCTAGGGTTAGACAAAGGCTCAGGATGTGGTGAGATACAAGGATGAGGTAAGTGACAGGAGTGGCTGAAGGTTGGAACTAAGAGTTGGGAACAGGCACAGGAAGAAGTCCAGTGACAAAAGCCTGGTGGGGAACGGGGAACGAGGACAGATCACATTACGTGGTAAGAAAAAACAGTGCTGCAGCCATGTCGAATGTTCCCAGTCCAAAGAGCTTCACAATTATCACTTTGGCTGCATGTCTTGCAACTTCACCACTCACATGCAGGGACAGGCAGCCATTACCAAGGGCATGGCTGGACCTGAAGCTTGCCACACAAGCCCCTCCAGCATGTGGCCAAACTTCCAACTCCATCTCATTTCCTCCCCTTCATGAACTGTCATTTTAAATCAAACTCCATGCCATGACAAATCCCACCCTCACGGGGGAAGATCACTAGGCACCCTCCTCATCCTGGTAAATGTACCTCCCCCTGCTGAAATCAGACCCATTTTCCAAGGCCTTCCCTGAATCTCTAACCAGGAAAAGTTTCTTTCCCAACTTCCAGAAAATTTTCCGTTGATGTTTACCTTTACCATGGCATTCACCGCACGCAAACTTGCTTTACAAATAATTTTCTTTCTTCCTCCTAGCTCCTATGCTGCATTTTCATGAGGGCAGTGACTGCATTTCATTACAATAAGTGCTTCAAGTTACTGGACATGTACCAATATGCTTACTTCTTTTCATAAATTTTCTCTAAACTTATAAAAAACCTATAAGTAGGTGTTATAATTCTCATTTTTACACATCTCTTCCAGCGCATAGAAAGCTATGTCTAGGTGGATGAATGGATAGATGGGTGGGTGGATGAACAGGTGAATGGGATGGATGGATGGATGGATGGATGGATGGATAGATGGATGAATTGATGAATGGGTAAATGAATGGGTGGATGAGTGAATACATGGATGGATAGAGGAGCATTGAAAACATTCAATTGACTCAAATCCAAAGTATTACCTTCCTTCCTTAGGAGTTCCTCGCCCCTACAGCAACTAAGAATGTGGAAGATAATTTCAGTTCTAACTAAGGTTTCCTGTATTGCAGAAAATTTGTATTTCCCCCAACCTTCAGGTTTATCAGATGAAGGCAATACCGAAATAAAGAGTATTCTGCACGTAACTTCAGCAACGTGAACCAGTGAAAAGGCTTTAGGGGAACAAAATCTGCCTCACATCTCTTATGTAAGGATTTACTAAGTTTCTGTCCTTGAGCCTTGAGCAGCTTACCCTTTCTTTGACCATCAGTGTCCTCTATGAGACAGAACAACCACATCTCCCTCGCAGGTGACAGAGAGGGGAAAGTTAGGTAATGGACGTAAAAGCCTGGCACAGGTAGATCCTTATTAATTGTTCATTTGCTCCAATCTCTAATTCCAAGAAATTTAAGAAGCTATGAAAGTAATGAGGTCTTGAAAAACAAAATACCAAATGAAGGTTTCTCCCCACTTACAGCTCAGCATATGGCTATGCACCGTCATCACCCTTCCCTGCCCAGGCTGACTGTCACAAAGCCATTCCTTAAGCTCTGACAGATGTAATTTCTTGCCAATTTTGTTCCTTGTCCATTTGGCACCCATCCTCATAGGGATTTCTCTTTCTTTGCTTCTATTAATGCTTGAAATTAAGACAGTTTTCAGTTTGTTTTTATGTTTGAGTTGTGGTTGAAGCAGGCATTTCCCACAAACCCAGAAAGCCTCAACTTCCTAGGGAACTTTGGGAAGTCTACACAGTGTTCGCTATCAAAAGGAAAATTCTTCCCTTGATTTGTCCAAATTCTCCTGTTTAAGTCCAAGGGAAAAGCTCAGCTTCCGTTCCACCTGGCCTGTGGGTACAGTAGATGGATGTTCCCATGTCCCCCATGGAGAGTTCTACAAGGGAAAATTTCAAACACATGTTTTGGAAGCAAAAGCCCCAAGTGCTATGAATGAAACATATCAGTCATCATTTTTCTACCCTCCCTCTATTTGCAGCCCAGAGCTAAAGTCACCTGTTATCTTGGAAATAATCCCTGAAGGATCAAGTCCAAGGGAGCAAAGGGGACTGGTCACCCCAGCCAAGGTTATCTAAGTTCCACGCTCACTCAAGACAGGAAGCCCCACATCCTGCAGCCTCATTCATAATCCATTATAGATGTGTCATTCTTGGAGCCCCAGTTGAGAAAAGAAGTTAACTATGCACATTTTGGCAAAGATGCAGACCAGGGTTTCAGCAAAGCAGCTATCCCATAAAATAATAAAGTACAAATGCAAATGGCAAAAGTGTGCCCATATCCCAGCGTAGAGTGTGCCAAAGCTGACCGAATAATTATACATTTTTCATGTTTCAATAAAGGTACTTAACTGGCATTTTGTGGGACACTGCTGGGTGAGAGCTCGCAGCCTCACAGCTGGCAGGGAGCCCACATCCTGCAACCCTGGCAGTTCCCCATCTTCTCCATTAGCTCAAACCACATGGAGAGACGAGAGCGGGACAAATGAGACCTCTTTTTTTTCCAAGTATATTGGAGTCGACCCAGGAAAAAAGCAAGGCAGGTTGGTGAAAAGTGTAGGCAAGTGTTCCCAGCCTCTCCACTGCAAACGCCACTAGGGAAATCATAAAACCACAGTCATTTGAACAGCCGTTTAGAGTTGACAAGTGCTTTTCAAATGGATTCTCTTAATCCTCGCACAAAGTGCTGAGGAACGTATTTTTATGGCCCTTCTTTCACAGATTACATCCATGGAGGCTCAGAGAGGTCGAGGGACTTTCATAAGGATAAACAGCCAGTAAGTGCCAGAAAAGGGCCTGGATCCAGTCCTCTCTGCCTCTCACACCTGTGCTGTGGGCTGCCTGCTTCCCTCCTCACCCAGACCCACATCGGTCCATCTGATTCTCTGCCTCACACCCACGCTGTAAAGGCCAGGAAGTTGGAACATGTCTGGGTAGAAATCTGATCCTCAGACCTTCAGGACAGAGATAAAAAAGCTGTTTCTAAATTGTGGTAGGAAGAACTACTTACCCCTTCCTCACGTGTGCAGGAAAAGGTTACCAGGCAGAAAACTGATGTTTCGTAGTGGCCCGGTTTATTTTATGCCCCTAAAGGGTCAGAAATGGTGATGTGCTCACGTAGGGAGACTTCCACAAACATAGCACGCAGATATTCTGTTATGCTTGCTATGGCTTTTCCGGGCCCTCTGATCTCTTTCTTCCTTCCCTTGGCAATCTTTTGGGGCAGTCCTAAAAGACGGGAACTGAGACCTAAGTTCACAATTGGTTCAAGCCTATTCACTGGTTTCCCCAAAGGTTTGAGAAGCCATTCAAAGCCTTCCGTCACCTCTGTGCACAAGGAGAGATGCACTGGTTTGAATCGATAAGATCTTTGGGCTCCCCAACTGAGACAGCTTCAGCTAACCCTTCTTGGAAACAAGGGCTCACCTAGTTTAAGTCCATGGGGAGCGGGGCTGTGAGAAGATTTCAAATCCATCATGAAAGATCATTCCACAGAATGTATGTTCTGGGTTCTCTTTTTTTAAACGTGTTTCAGAGTTCTGACTTCTACCATAGACAGAAACAGGGCTCATGGAAGCACTTGGTGTGGGCTGGGCCAGGAACCCAGGTCAATTCTAAACCAAACTCTGATCAGCTGAAGTATACACAGGAAGCACACTCCTGCTATCAGAAGGTTCTGGTTAATTGGGAACTAAGTAAAGTCTAGTGAACATAATTTAATCATTCTTTGATAATTGAGAATCTTGCAGTGCCCCGGGGTGATCATGCTAAACATCAATTATCAATCCTCACTGGTGGGAATGCAGGCAATTGAGCTCAACCTGAAGTGACTTCGAGGCCAGCTACAGGCCAGCTACACCCATTTTTACTGAACCCCTAATACCAATTTATTATTTTCCCTGTTTCCTAGACAGCTAATGCAAGGAAAATTCTGTCAATGAGACACTTTAAGTTGTTTGAATCACAGTTAATCAAGATCTCCATATAAGTATGCAGAAATTAGAAGGACTCTCAGAGTGTCAGCTTACTATACCTGGTTATTAAATCAAATAAATCCAGCCAGATAAAAATAGATCCTTGGATTTATTTTGAAAATTTGTTTTGAAGTCCATCCCCGCCTCCAACACCCCTGGCCAGATACATTCTCGCCTTGCATGCATCAGATAGAATGAGTCAAAGGACACCAAGTCAAGTGAATACTGAAGTCCCAGTTCTCCTAACAAGTAGCCGTATGACCTCAAGGAGCCTATTTCACTTCTGAGATTCAGTTTCCTTATATGCACACCTGAAGGTTGGATTTATTGGTTCTTGAACTTTCAGGAATACAGATCTTCCTAAGAATTCGAGAAAAATGGCCAGGCAGGGTGGCTCACTCCTGTATCCCAGCACTTTGGGAGGCAGTGGTGGGTGGATTACCTGAGGTCAGGAGTTCAAAACCAGTCTGGCCAACATGGTGAAACCCCGTCTCTACTAAAAACACAAAAAATTAGCTGGGCGTGGTGATGACAGCCTATAATCCCAGCCACTTGGGAGGCTGACGCAGGAGAACTGCTTGAACCCAGGAGGCAAAGGTTGCAGTGAGCTGAGATTGCACCATTGCACTCCAGCCTGGGGGACAGAGCAAGACTCTGTCTAAAACAAAGAAAAATCAGAGAAAAATTAAGAACATTTTTCCCAGCAGAGAAAAAGCAAAATAAGTACAAAATGTTTACATTCTAAATGGGGCATGGAGGCATGGACTCCCCCAAGCCCACCATCTTGTGACCCCTCCATGGACTTTAGGCTTAAACTCCTGAGGTAGAAGACCCCTTAGGCCTCTTTGAACGCCCGCATCCTCCAAATCCAGCT